TTTGGCTTGTAAGCGCTGTGTGCGTCTTAATGTTATATTTACACAAATACAAAAACTACGTGATTTCCTTAAACAAATCGGTTAACTGTCAAAGAGAATAAGTCAATATTTTTTCGATATGACAATTTTGGTGCCATTCGGTTCGTTTAACGGAGCAGTGTTGAACAGCACCAAATTTTCGCTATCGGAAAAGTACTGAGTTATTCCCTTCGGTAATTAACCCATTCAGATACTGGATCCAAATTGTTAAAAATTAGTTAGTTAAGTAGAATTTTGGCATAAAATAAGACCATTATGCAGTTTTTGCTGCTGTATCTCAATATCCGCTTCATCAATCGCCACCAAACTCGGAACGAACATTGTCTAGAATATAACTAAGGTGTATGTTGAATACCTTTGAAATCTGGCAATACCGACGCCCACCTCTCATATAACGGTAATATACAGATATACGAAAACTGCGATAAATCAATAATTACTGAAGCTAGCTTAGTTAAAATTGATCTGTTCAATACTTCAAATTAGTCTAAATATGACCTCTTAATAAGGTCAATCGAAAATCTGTGAAGTAGAATATACATTTTTTTTTTCAAAACTCAATCCTGACCATATGACGAAGCAAATATTATTTTGCACCATTAGTCAGGGTCGGAAAGGGTACTTTCTGCAAGTGCGAAAAGCAGGGGTGTGTATGACGCTACTTAGCGTAGAGGGCACTGAGAAGACCACATTTTTCACTGGAAAACAAAACGGCGTAAGTTTCGAAACTTGAACAAATTTCATAAAGGTCAATCAAAGTTCAAAAAATTTTAATTAAAATTTAAAAGTTTTAACAAGAATTTTTAGAAAATTTTTGGGTATAGGTACTGATTTGTAGCCCATTCACTTAAAATTACCAATGAGGTTCTTCGCGATTGCCTGGTTATCAGCTTATGTGGTTATATTTTGTATTCAGTTTACAACAATTAAATACACTACACAATACTAATTTTTAACCAGATAACCTGATAACCAGGAAGGTGTAAACAATCTCATTCATTTTTGAGAGTTATTTTTTGTCGGGAGTCTTCCTAATTTTCATATATCATATCATATAAAAATTGATTTCGTGGGTTTAGAATCGACAAAAAAATGGGGTGTGTCGATTTGCTTATCTATTGCTTTCTCTGGGAATTGACGTGCTGTGAAAATCTGACCCATAGTGAACTTACCAGGTCTGAAGTCACATTGTCGTAAATCGTTGAGAGGACCTTATAAGCAATTAAGAAGGCTTCTTCCGCGATAGTTGTTAAAACTCCCTTCTTGTAGATTGGAAAAGGTGCAGTCTTCGGGAATGTATAGATCACACTAAATTCTGCTTAGATTCTGCGCCCAGCCAGCTCTTCGTTGCCGGCTTTGAACAGCTGAGCCGGTATACAGTTTTCCGAGGAATTTTCCTTCCTTTCATTCGGCGTTGCACATCCCAAGCCTAGCGGACAACCAATGCTGGAACGAGTGTTTTTACAACCGCTTGTTTCAAGACTTGACTTGAATTTTTTAAATCCTATAACAATAGTAACACTTTCGGAATATAAAACTACTTTCCCAGTCACCAGAAGTCAGAGGGTTAATAAAAAAGAAATTTCAAAGTTATACTAACATGTACAAAATGTCAAAAATGTACAAAAGCCCCGGCTTTTTGTGCGATTTATATATGTATATACATATTCTGTCCTGATTAATTATTTAGAGTGGCAAATTGTCTCGCCGCTATTTATTTTATATATCTCCAACCATAAATTATAAATGTAATTTATGAATTTTATTAAGCTAAAAGTCAAGGCAGTATTATCACTTAATTAATTTTCCGCAAAATTTCAACACATTTAATGAAAAATTCCACTTGGAAGCATCATAACCAAAATTTCAATAATTAATTCGATAATCTAAAAATAGTGTTTGTATGCATTTGAACACAAAATTATACAATTTATACGCGTACACACACATGTGTATGAATATACATTTGCTATGATATATGGCCAACACGCCCAACGGACAGCTGTGTTTATTTTCCTTTAACGCACGTATGTAAATATGTAGATGTGTTTAAAAATATATGCATATAAATATGTATATGTATGTATTTTTAAATGGCAGTCACATGCACACAAACTGAACATGTTTCTTGTCAATTTAAATGCAAATATTTTAATTGGTATAACACAGCTTTGTAGTGGGTGTCCAGCAGTCTCTGCTTGACACATAGATACTAAATATATTGTGCATACTTACTACATATGACTGTATCTATTTAGATATGTAATGATACATATCGAGCCCTAACCGCCAAAATAACGTAAGCGACATTTTTTTCAAAATTTTATTTTTGATGCAGAAATATTCCTAGAGCATCTAGATGCATTTCTGCATCAAAAATAAAATTTTGAAAAAATGGTCGCTTACGTTATTTTGGCGGTTAGGGCTCGATATAACATAACATAAAGGGTCAAAAATATTTTCGTTATACCCAGTGGCGGATCTAGATTAAAAGTTTGGGGGGAACGAGTACTTTCATAATGATGTACCAATTAATGATTTTGTTAATAAGTAAACATAAACTTAATTTTTGATGCATATACATATGTATGTATGTAGACACTGAAATTGATGCGGTTTTTTCCCATATTGAGAAATCTTGCCTTCACTTCTTCTGGCTTTACTTCAATGTCTAAATTTACAGTAAAACCCGCTTAAGTACCTCTATGCGGGTACTTAAGCGAACATAATTATTGATGTAGTTAATCTTCTTGGTAACTTACATAAATAACTTCTTGAAAAAAAAACATTAACATTTAATGAAGTGTACGTTATTTAAAACCAAGATTGTAGCATTATCTAAACACATAAATAAAAACTTTATAAAAAAATCGACAAATCTATGGTATGTAATTTTCAAAAGAATTCAATTCTTTAAAGTCATTGATTATACATATTTATACATACATACAGTGTTGGACATATCTATCGTTTCGGACCAAAATCAAAATGAAGTTTGTCACTTATGCTTATTTATCAAATTTTAAGATTTTTCAATCAAAACACATTTCATTCCCTAACAAATACCATATAAACTGAAGCTTAAAATTTTCATCAAAATATCAAACTTTTTCCCAGACGTGTTTATAGCCCATTCACTTTTAGTGTAATAATGTGCAAGTTTCAAGAAGCACGTTCAAGGGCGCACTTGAAAGGGGAAAATTATAAGTAGAAAAAAAATTTAAATAAGTAAAACAAAAAATTTAGGTACCTAGGCGGGTTGGGTAAATAAGCGGGGAGGTACTTAAGAGAGGGATTTTCTTCAGATTACAGGTTACTTAAGCGGGTTAGGTAATTAATCGGGGGGTACTTAAGTGGGCTTCACTGTATATTGAGAGGGCCAACCCGTTTAAGCTGTCTTCCCTCATGGCGGTGTGCATTATGGCATTCTGACTACCTCTACTACATACAGAGGTGAACGCAGGTATGGTTTTTTGGGGGTTCGATTCCCAGATGGGCTGGGAGTACATAAGAATATGCAAAGACCCTTGAATTCATCTTCTGTATACTGTAGATAAAATTATATCCAGATTTGTCCTCATCTGAACCATGATAAAAAATATAAGTCAGTCTGACCAGCAATATAATTTAAAAATTCAAATACTCAAACTCACACACACATTCTCGTTTTCAATCTCAAGCAACAACAATTGTGAATAATTTTTATTTTCTTTAATTGCAATTTTATATGTTTTCAAAATGCTTGCAAACGTCAGAAAAAAATATGGCCGACAAATTGGGAGAATGAATTTACCTTGTAATGTTTTTGTCATCATCTGAAGTATGTGGAGTAATCGCTTTATGTTGACATCTTTAATAGATAACAAGTTAAGAAGTGGACGAAACCGAATTTTATATACACTCCGCAGGTACACTCAGAAAAAACATTCCCTGATGCTAGGAAAGAGTATATTATTTTATGGAAATATTACCTCGAAAGGGCTCCAATGACATGGCTGTCTTAAAATGGTCCATTTCACAAGCCTTTCGTTTGGTTATTATCACCCGTTCACTTCATGCAATAGTTTCGCGTTTTAAATTTTTTTCTATTTAATTGATGAATATTCCGCCCTATGTTGAATATCGTCATCGCTAGTAAAAGCGACGATACTGCCATCGTCAGCCATGTACTGATGCGCTGACGATCGTCGACGATGACGATGACGATATTCAGCATAGGGCCGATTGGCAACACCTGCTAAAAGTGTGAAATCGCTTTGCCACTGATCTTTAAATATGGCATGGCTAATCATCTCGGCCGCTGTGGTGTAGTGGTAAGCAGTGCGGCTTCCACTCCGCAACGCTTGGGTTCAAGCCTTGGTCAAGGCAACATCGCAAAAAATATAGAAAATAAAAGGTTTTTTTAACAGCGGTCGTCCCTCGGCAGGCAATGGCAAAGCTCCGAGTGTATTTCTGCCATGAAAAACCGCTTCTCATACTAATACAATCGCCGTTCGGAGTCGGCGTTAAACTGTAGGTACCTCCGCTTTGTGTGACAACATCAAGGCGCACACCACAAATCGGAGGAGAAGCTCGGCCAAACACTAACATAAGCGCCAATCTATTATTATTATTACAATCATATTTCCCCCATTTTCAATAGCAACTTACCTTGGATAAATTTCGTTGAGATATCTCAATTCGAGTTATCGTGTACACGGCTAGACGGACGGACAATCCTAGGGGCTGAGAGCATTAAACTTCCGACTTTACCTTTTCACATGCATTTTTTGACCGCCCTAATGTACACACACATATACAAATAGCTTTTGCAAACTAAAGTCACTACATACGAATCGTGAATAAGCTGCGATATTTGTTTATTTGCATGCCGGGGAAAAATCGTACTTGTTTATATGTATAAATCTTTGAATTTATTTATGAAATCAGATATGTAAATTCGTATGTATATCATGAAAATTAAAATGTACGTGTACGTGTACGTATTTATTTATTTGTTGCAGCAAAATTTCATTGGACAAATATTTACTCTTTTCTTGCTTTTAGTTTTTAATAAATACTTAAAAGTTTTTAAATTTATTTATTTTTTGTTAATTAGAGTACGACTACATTCACCCCATTATTTATTATTAATTAATATATATGTATAAATGTTTACTAAAACCTATCTACATATTTATTCTGCAAGTCTTTAATAAGTAGGTTCCCAGTAGACACTTGGTTTCACCTTGGTCAGTGTACCCTGGTTGCTAATGTAGATCCCACCATTGTCCTGCAAATCTACCACTTGAGCCAAGTGTTCTCCACAAATTTCGGGTGTCTGGGTTTTGCTATTATCGAATTTAGCGCCAATCGCTTTAGAATAATCAAAGGTATATTTGGTGGAGAGATTGTTCTTCAATGGCGTGTCAGTCAAACCGGGACAGAATGTGCTCACTGCAACGCCAGTGTGTTCATAGTAGTCGGGATGCTGGAATATAAAATCATAGGACCTTTTAATTAAACTAAATAATTTTCTATAAAGTTTCGTTGCTTATTTAGGTTTATCTTTGCACACATACCCCTAGAGAGCGTGAGAAACCCACTACGCCAAATTTGGAAGCACAATACACAGCCGCTGGTGGACATGGTTCTAGACCCAATACAGAGGCGATATTCACAATAACTCCACCTCGCCCCTTTTGATTTTTATCCATGTAAGGCAAAGCCTCAAAGGTGGTATTGATTAGACCAATCAAGTTGACATTTATAGTCAACTCAACTGCGGGGTCAGCCAAGATGCCAGCTCCGTTGACTAATACGTCGATGTATTGCACTTTGGACACCAAATCGGCAAGAGCGCTCTTGATCGATTCCTTGTTGGTGATGTCAAATTTCGTGTAGTGAACTTTAGTGTTGGGGTTGATATCCTGCAAAGCCTTCACCGCTTCAGGTTTGTCCAGAATGTCAAAGGCGAAAAAGGACTGCGAAAGAAAAATTAATTATAGAAATTTTTAAATTTATTGTTATATGAAGCATTTTTGTATAGAATTTGCTTAAATAATTAGAATAATGAATACTTTAAACACATTAAACTAAATAAAGTTCACAATGGCAGTAGTGAGAGAATTTGAATGGTCAGTTTTATGATAAAAGTGTGTTGTCACGAATGAAGTGAAAGAAAAGCTTGCTGAATCTGAAAACTGCACAGAAAATTTGATAAGGCCACAGATAATTTTCATCCAAAAAAAGCCGACTTCAATTATCATATAAAAATTTAAGATTACCGTTAATTTCTTCACGATCTAATGATCGGATCTAAACCCAATTATGTAGTATGGGAGCACCTCTGAGGTACCACCTTTTTTTTAGAAAAATAATTATAGAAAACATTTAACGTGGTCAAAAGTAATGCCTTAACAAACATAAAAAACAAAAAATTATCCGACGAATTGATAGCGTCCTCCGTTTTTACAGTCGGTTAAAAATAACACAAAATCTTTTAACTAATAACGAGACCTTCTGATTCTTATGGTATATTCTCGAAGACAAAACTTCAACTAATATATATAAAAAATTCAATACCTTGCAGTTTGCGATTCGCTCCCACTGGGACAAAATACCGCTAAACCACATACGTGCAGCATAAGAAACCCGGACAGACTCGATGCTGCTATTCATTCTAAAGATGGCTACATCGAATAATAATACACTTTTTTAACATTTGACTAGCTTTTATGATAAACTGATGTTTTAAATAAAAAAGCAAAAAAAAATTATAACTTTTTTTATTGATAACACTTGGAGTACCTATCCCTGTATATACACAGTTAGATAAATATAATTTTTCGAATAAGTGGTTACCCTAATCCAAAGTATTTTCAAAGTAAAGTTTTTATAAAACTCCTTCGGCTTATATCTACTCATATTTAAATATATTATATACATATCTTGTGTTTAAGTTAATTAAACTACACCTATCAAACAAGTGGCAACACTTTATAGAAGTTTTTTCAGACTAAAATCTTCCTGAATCGTTTTCTTTTAATTTTCACCAATTAATTGACGATTTAGGCTGAATTTGAGTTTTCAAATACGTGGTAATATTTTTAAATACAATTTTGAAATAAAGACTTTCTAAAACCGTTTCGATTAATACACATTTTTTATTAAGTAATGTAACATAATAAATAACTTGAGTTTAAATTTTTAAGCCCGTGGCATCCCTCTTCAAATACCTCGAAGATATTCTAATTGTTAAAAAATTTCTTAGCACTCTTTCGTTTGACACCCGTATTTTAATATTTCATATAAATTGTGCATAATTTAATTTCATTTTGCTTTTAAAACAGGTGCCAACCCTCTTTAAATTATTTTCAATTTGAAACTTTTTTAAAACTCTTTCGTCTGACACCTATATTGTGACACATATTTAAATTGCCGATAAGTGCGCCAATTCAAGTTTGATTTGGTTTTGTAAACATATGGCAACTCTTCTAAATATATTTCGAAAATAAAGTCTTTCAAACTCATTTCGATCGATACCCCTATTTTAAATCATTTAACTTATTCAATACTCCTAATTTGTCCAGGTTTCAGCTCTCTTAGAAAATATTCTAAATATTTAAACTAAAGACTTATTATTTTAATATTCTTTCGTTTTGAGACCCATATTTTAACTTTTCGTACAACTCCTTTATAATTTATTTAATGCTGACTTTTCGAACTATTGGCAACTCTATTCAACTATAATTTTTATATCTCTTTCGTCTGACACCCTAATTAAGATACATATCTCTAATACCTTTATTTAAATAAAATTTGACATTTTAAACCAGTGGTAACCATCCTACATTTAGTTAAGAAATAAATAAGGCCTTTTCAAAAACATTTCGATTGATACCCATACTAAATATGATCAATTCAATTCTTTAACAAGTGGTAACCCTTCTCGTAAAAATAAAAATTTATTGTACATTTACAGGTAAACCACAATACCAAATTTGACACATGAAACACTGGGAACATTAGCGCTCTTTATTTTTTTTTTGGTTTTACTTTAATTTGTTGTATTTTATTTTATTAGTTATTTCTTTTCAAGTTTTGCTATAATTTTTTTTTACTGAGCTTTATTTGTAAACTCACGCTAGAATATATATTTTCATTGCATAGAAGATTTTAATATTCCGACTTGTAAGATTGTTTTTTTTTAATATCTTTAGGTAATATTTGATTCATTTTTTAACCGACTTCACAAAAAGGAGAAAGTTATTAGTTCGTCGGAATATTTTTTTATTTTATTTTTTTATGTATGTTATCGCTTAACTTTGGACCACGTTAACCGATTTCTAAAACTTTTTTTTTTTTAAGGAAAGGAGTTACCTCACAGGTGGACGCATGCTAATTTGGTTTAAATTTTTTATGAGAAATGAAGTCGGTTATGTTTTTTGCTTACAAATTGCTTGTTATTATTAAATTTCTTAAATTCATTTTCACTCATCACTTTATACTTATTGCAATATCCATTCACTAAGTGTGTTCTTTTTTTCATGCAGCTTACCGCCAAATCCAAGGTCATTAACTCTTTGCTGGCTTCATAGGCAATGGAGCCCAAAGCGGCAACAAACACCACATTTTTACCCGCCAAACTCATTTTCGCTTAATTTATTGTTTTTTTTTTTATTACACGAAAAATAGCAATAAAATGAAAACTGTTGCGTGCAGTACTTCTGTGTATCGACTGCGATTCTTATAAATGACTTCCCCGGTTTTTATATCCAATTTTCGGCGAAGGAAGAGGCTTTTTTGGCTTCTAATTAGAAATGCAATAATGCAGAGCGCATGTCACGGAGCTTTGAATAAGAAATAGGGCGGTTGCCTCTTAGCTACATATAAAAGTACATACATACATATTTAGCTTTCGGTGCGTCGAATTATCATAAATAATGATTTTAAGGAAAAATTTAATTTATAAATTTCTACGTACATACATTGGTAATAATTAAATCACAAATAAATGAGTTGCACGAAAATATCTTGTTAGTTTAATTGCAAAAAAAATATGTAAACAAAAATATTCCTCCCTCTATTTTCTGAATTTTATTCACTGTATGTGGTACTCACAGACGCCGATATGTAATCGGTTGTTTGCATTTAGTGCATATTAGCACAATACTATTAATGAGCTTACAACTTTGTATTTTCAGCTGCCAATTCACATCAAGCTTACGTATAAAAGAAAATAAAAAATAAATTGTTTATCTTTTGAAGTACGTAAAACGAGAAAAATATTGACCCACGCTCTTCAGCCGCACCCCAGCCAATATTAATACATCTGCATACATACAGGGTATTTTTTTTTATTAAAATCATATATTTTCTGTAAAATACTTCCAAAGTACAAAGGTACATTTTTACCTGCTTCTGACGTTATTTTGTGATACTTAAAAAACGGTGACACTGTTACCTGAAACATGTTTGCTTATCAGGGAGCTCAGTCCCCCCGCCTACCGTCTCCGCAAGTTTGGCAAAGAACTTCTTGGACACCGTGTATATATGTACGTAATTTTAAATTCTTTTTATATGGTTATAGTTTACCCGGCGCGCCTCGCTTCTTCTCCGTAATTGTCGCTGTAACCACCTAAGCGATTTTGGCCGAGTTCAACAAAGCATGCCAGTCGCTTCTCTTCTGTGCCAACTGGAAATGCCAAGTCCTTATCCACTTGGTCTTTTTATCGCACTGAGCTCTTCCACTGCTACCACCAGTGTGTTCCGAGCTTAATATTTTCAGAGCAGGAGGGTGTCGATTCTAACTATCTGACCAAACTAGCGGATCCGCTGTATTTTAATTCGCCGCACTATGTCGTTGTGAAGGCCATCGTTCTAACTTCCGCGTTATTCGACGCTACCAACGTGCAAAGGCATGTAAGTCTTCTGAAAAATATTTCTTCCGAGTGTGGTTTTTGTACTAAATAACACACAGGAATTTACTTCCCAACTGCCTACTTAGGCCAAAGTAGCACTTGCTGGCCAGGGTAGTTCTGCGTTGAATTTCGAGTCTGACTTTATTATAGATGCTGATGCTGATTTTAGTGGCGTAAGAACTGAGACGCATAGCCGCTGACTGAGTGTTTGATGACTAGAGAAATGTACCTACATACATAAATAGTTCGGCGACGCACAGTGTTTCGACTATATGGAGGCAGGTAGAAAAATGTCATGGTGACAGCTGATGAAAAAAAACCGATTGGTTTTAGAGAACGATACATTTCCAAAAAAATGGGAATGGGCGCGATACCGACTAATCAGTTTAGTTGTCTTTGGCGATTAACCCATTAAAGAAATTGTTTCTTTCTCAAATGTAATCAATTACCTAAATGTCGTGGAAAATTCAAGTGAACGTATCTATCATTTATTTTGGTACTTTCCCATTTTCTTACCAAACAATTTACTATGAAATGTAGATGCTAAAGATTATTAGTAAAAAGAAGTGTGAGTACCGGTCCGTCAGGTCTTGAAATTAGACGAATGTTTTAGAGAATTTTATGTAGTTTTCGAATATATAATTTGATCTTTGCGCGCGACTTTGCAAATATGTGTAATTTTTGTTTTTCAGCTTCTTTTTACATAATTTCGCGAAAAGAATTTTTCGAACAATGAAAAAATCTCACCAAACATTGGGAAAAAAGCAAGTATTTACACCTAGGTCATTTTACAGTATAACCTTTGTTTTCTAAAAGTGGAAAGCAGGAAACAAAAATTAACCAAAATTCCATCACATTTAATGACTGGGCCCACATTTTTTGTGAGTTTTGGAAGTTAGAGTGACCCAATCTTCCCCATATTTTATATTTAGGGTTTTCTAGTAAAGGCGAGAGTACAAACTAAATTTCATCGAAATCGGTAGAGATTTAATGTTTCCGCCCACAAGAGTAGAAGGCGTGGCAATTATTCCATCTTTACCAAATTTCATAATTCCCTACTTCTAAGCAAAACTAGAGCACATGTCAAGTTTCAGTGAAATCGGTGCAAGTGTACTATTATTTCCACCTGCCTCCATATAGTCGAAATACTGTGCGACGCTCTCATTCTTATTTCGAGAAGGCAAAATACGTTACGTTGGTTGCTACGGATGATGTCGATGTCATTGACATATGCCGGCAATTACAGGCTCTTCTAAAAACTGCTTCTAAACGGTTAAGGTCTGTGGTTCTTACATGTTGTCTTCTTCAGCAACAGATTTAAAAATAACATAAGAAGGAGTCGTACTATCTGAAACCTTATTTTATATCACTTTATTAGTCAGCTTCATTAAAAGTGGCATTAAAATCGACAAATATGTAGATGTTGTGTGTCGATCCTCTTCTTGAGGTTCTTTTCCAAGATTTGAGATATTGTGCATACCTGATTTCCAACCATAATTGATATGCAAAGTGGGAAAAATTAAGTTTATTATTATGACGAATCATGTATCAAATTGTGTTATGAATTCTGGCAGCCATCTCTGCCTGCTTAACCTTTTTCCGATTAGGAAGGTAACAAAAATATTCCCAATGAACTATTATATTATGGGTGTTCATGGAAATGCGTAAATGCCTCGTAATCGCGTAAACATCGTGAATAAACCGATTTTCCATACAGAATTAAGTAAGTTTACGAGACTTACACGGTTACGATGCATTTACGCGTTTATATGAATTGTCCTATTGCTTTTTGCATTTGTATATATATAAAGTTATAGAATTTCAATTTTATACTTTTTATTGATAATGATTAGACTTGCTCAATATTAAATTCACTGACTGTTAATAGCATGAGTAGACAAACCGACAAATAATAAACAATCAAGCCCCAAAACTGTAATCAATTGCTTGTTCATTTATATGTACGTATGTATGTATAAATTAGGGTCTCAAGTCACTTGTCTGAATTAATACAAAATATGAACTAAGTAAATTCTTATCAATTGTTATTTTAAGGCCCTTTTTTATCCCTTCAAATATGCAACTTTGTTTTTCGTTCGTTTAATGGAAGAATATCATATCTCAAAAAACTTTATACTCTACTTTTTTCTTCTTGAACAAAAATAAAGAACAATAAAAAATAATGAGTTTGAACAAGACAAAAAAAAACGTATAAAAATTTTGATATACGGGTCATTCCATGCAAAAGAGGAAAACGACATGAATTTTAAAATGCCCTAGTTCTTTCTATTTCAGAAGCAAGCTGCTTTAAAATTACTATATTTCATTAATCAGTCGAAAGATATCAAAAAAATAAAAAGAAGTTGTAATTTTTGTGTATGGAAACTTTTATTTCATGCATAATAACTTTACATCAGTGACAAGCCCATGCCCTACCAGTCGAAAATTAAAATATTTCTGTGAAGATTACATAAGCGTAGTTTTTATTGAAATCGACAGCGCAAAATTCATATTTTACAACGCAAAAACATCCTTCATGAAAATGAAGGGGTTTGGCTAAAACTTATCTTTGAGTGCACAAAGGTTAAATTCAAAAAAATAAAAGGTTCATTTTATTGTCCCGGTAGTCACATTCATTCAGTTGATACTTACATAAGAAATGTTTTGGAATTTTTGGTAGAGAAATTTCTTATTTTACTTATCGTTCTATGTTAAAACCTATTTTTCTCTGTAGTATAAGTTATAACGACTTAGTTATGGTTCACAATTGATGACATTCTGGAGTAAAATGTCCCACCTGTCACAATGGAATGGCTCATTAATTTAAACAAATAGAGCATAAGTAACATTTGTATCATTTACAAGTTATGTATGTATTTACATATATATTCCTACTTATATACATAATTTATTATTCGCTGTCTGTAGGAGTGCACCCACCTAAACTTTTGTAATCTGCCCTTATACATACCTACCCAGTGGGAAAAGTGGTAATGCATTACATACGTAATAAATAATGTAATGTATTTCTTATGAGTTATTGATTTTATTACTGTTTAATATGTATTCAGCATTTAAATGTATCCAAAAAGTCGCACAAATTTCATATTAAATCGCATTCATTCTTGCATTGTTGGTAATACAAAATTGAATGCCCCTATTTTCCTAGGACATCGATGTGGGAAAAATAATGCGTTTTCGAATGTGAAAGCAGCTGTTTTACTGATTGTTTTCTTGTTTTCGATTATATGCATTCAATTTTCCCACTGGGAATGTTTGTATGCATTTGCGAAATATGTGTAAGATCAAGATCACGATCATCGCTAAATTACTTACAAGTGCAATAAACAGCGTTTCTGCTAGAGCTCTTATCTATGCAAATATAATTTTTTTACTTTGTCGCATAGCATTTAGATGCCAGCTTTTATTACTTAATTTAGCGCCAATTACGAGACTACATAACTAAGTACGTCAACATTGTTTGCACGCTCTATATGTGCAGCTTACAAAATGCATACATAGGTGTATGGAGTAGTTACAGTGTGTGTCATTAATATTCAGACAGCCTAAGAGTGCGAAAAAGATCAACAAGTCCTTTAGCTTAAGAACTAAAGCAAAGGATTTATCACATTTTCTGAATCAGTTACTAAAGAAATAGTGTGTTTGCTAACACGACGATCAAACCGTAAGTTCTTCATAACATTAATGTTCGGTGATTAGAGAGTAGTTGGTACAGTTCTTGGTAAATATAAGAAAGCTATTTCTGAATTAACGGTAATGTTCACTGAACACAAGTAAAGAATACAAAACC